ATACTAGAAACTCACAGCAACTCAATCCCAATACTATCAAATCCAGTCATTCTCTCAAGAACCTCATAGCTCAAGTGGTATATACTCTAGGAGACCTCTTCTGAGCTCACTGAGTTACATGTTTCTTATTCCCTTTATTTTTATATAATGCACTGTACTCAACTCCTTCACAGCATAAAACACCATTTATAATTAACAATCTCTCTGCTTCTATCTTCTTTCCCTGGAAGTTCCAACAGGAAGGGACAGAGAGTCTCATTTAGCAAGGGCCTCCACTGCCTCACGCGGGTCTTGACCTCTAGCAGTTGGGTGTTTGTGAAGCCAATAAACAAACAACTGGTGCTCACAACACTGTCCTTCCAGCTACACACAGAAAGTAGGTACCATCTCATCCCCAGAGGCCCTGGGCTCCCAGCATTCCCTCAAATGACAAATTAGTCCAAAAAACAAAAGGCATGAAATCTGGCTTCCTTGAAAGATCCCTGCCTCGAAAGACCACTTACAACCTAGAAGAATGTTTTTGTGGATTCCATTTCTAATCATCCTAAAAGTTGTTCCACAGTGTTGACACTGGGTTAACAGTAATTTCTTTGATTCAATGTGCTTCACCAGAATCAATATTTTATGATGCACAAAAGTAAAAACACTTGGAAGACAGGAACACAGCTGGATGTAAGAGGAACTACTTACAGTGCCAACTTTCTACACTGAACAGTATGAAGCAACTGCAATGGTGTTTCCCACCAAAGGAAAAAAATGAAAGCCTTAGATAAAACCCATGTATCTCTCAAGGAGTGGAAATGTAAGGTGCTAGAGGGATGTTCTTTGTTGGTTCACTGAGAAGAGTCTTTTCCTTACTAGTGGGGATTGCCTAATGAGTTTGTCATTCTGCACTATTTCAGAGTAGTGAGGGTTTTCTGGCATTTGAGCTGCATATACAGGGGTCTGAGCCCAAACATAATATCTTTCTAATTTAATAGGATTTTCTTAAAGATACAAAATAGTGTTAAGTTTCACTATGTATAAAAGAATAAACCCTCTCAAAAATCTCACAGTACAGTCGTGACATCTTCCCTGCCTGGGCCCTGTGTTCCATTAGCTTTCCTTTTACTTGGCTTTTCAAGTCTCTTCAGAATTGAAAACCAGTTGCATGAAATTTTACATCACACTCTTTGTAGGATTGGTTCAAATCAAATAGTATCTGTCTTTGGCTTGTTTCTAAGGTGAAGTCAGCACTAGTGTGAATATAGTCTGGCAAACAAGAAGCCAAGTTATCACATCAGTGGAAAATCAAACCCCCAAACTAGAGGGGTTTTCTAGTATCCCAGGTCACGAATCAGGCCGCCATTCTGGGGAGGAGAAAGGGGCGAGGCAGGTGATAGGTACAGGAACTGAAGAACAACGGTATCATGTACAAGTCACCTTGGAGTTATAGGGAACCACTCAAACACAGAATGAGGACTACAAATTAGCAAATGTAAGAGAGCCCTGCATCCCTTTAATAACACTGGGAGGCAGTGCAGACCACGCAAGAGCCAAGCAGACCAGAAACTCGGAAGGGAGTGGCAGACAGGACCTAGAGGCCACTAGGAGCAATGGCTCACACGGGAGGAGCCAGAGGTCAGGAGACTTTAAGACACCTGCCTGGGTTTGCACAGTTTGCTTGGGGGTAAGCTGAGAGACTGGGTGTCCTCAGTCCCACACACATCACTCTGTTTCCTTGTCTTTCATTTCTTGGCCACTGTTCTGCTCCAGAACAGAATGTCCCTCCATTTTTCTAGGATAACAATAGTTCTTTCTGAGAGTTACCTCCTCAGAGGACCCTTTCCTGACTGACCCGACAACCTAGAGCAGCCCCTCCAAGTCACTCCTGTTTTGCTTTTATTTTTCCTGTTTATTTTTTATCACCTACCTCACTGCGATGTAATAAGTACCATTAGAGGAGGGACCTTCTTTCTCACCCAACACTGCATTTCTAAGTCTTACAGGTTTCCACCTGGCATTTCATTAGGTGCTCAGTAAATGCTGAATGACAACTAAACAAGTCATACACAGAACCGTTTCTGAATGCCCAAAACAAAAAACAGGGGTGGGGACTATCAATCATCATTCCTAATCTACTGAAATCTTTATGAACGTGAACCTGAGTTCCTCTCTACTCTAAAATTCTTATCAAATGACTGCCAGCTCTGGTCTCCAAACGAGGATAGTGTGGAGGACAGTAACTTCAAAGCAACACAACTGATCTGAGAACGACCGGACGGACGTGAAGCCCAGACAGCTGGAGCCTCGCTCAGCACTGGGTGACTTGGTGAAGTGGTGGCAGTGGGGATGGGGGTCAGGTTGGTTTTCATTTTTGTTTTACTTGTATAGGGTAGAGGAACACCATGACCTTTAGGAAAAATAAATGACAAGAGGAAAAAGCACACTGACAGCTATGACTCTTTTTTTTTAAAGAGCTATTTGGGATACATTTTAGCACAAAAATCCGTCCAGCCTCATGTTTTACATCTAAAATAATGTTAATCAGGAAGAACATCAAATTGAATACCAAAACGATGGATTAGAAAAATACATTTTTGCATGATTTTTATTTATTTATTATTATTATTATTTTTAGAGACAAGAGTCTCACTTTATCATCCTTGGTAGAGTACTGTGGCATCACAGCTCACAGCAACCTCCAACTCCTGGGCCTAGGCGATTCTCTTGCCTCAGCCTCCTGAGTGGCTGGGACTACCGGCGCTCGCCACAACGCCCGGCTATTTTTTTGTTGTTGTAGTTTGGTTGAAGCTGGGCTTAAACCCACCACCCTTGGTATATGGGACTGGCGCCTTACTACTGAGCCACAGGCACCACCTTTTTTGCATGATTTTTAATAGAAATAATTAGCTTTAAAAATGTTGGTGCAAACAGAAGAGGACGAAATCAACCAGAACCAGCCCTTAGCATAATGCGCTTCTGGGGCTTTATGTTAAAAGGCAGAACAGGGAAAAAATCTGCTGGCCATTCCTAAGTGTTTGGTAACTAAAAGAACAACATTCTTACAAAAGAAAAAATACAAACTACATATTTATTGGATTTACTTCTACTGTGAGGCCAGGAGCTTCTGGGGGCAGGACTGTAACTGAGTCCTCCCTATGCTCTGAACAACCAAGCCAGGTGGCAGGCTCTGAAGAGGTGCTCTGTGAACAACCATTAAGTTGAATTAAATGTGGACATTGTCTATAATCGTGTTATCTTTTTGGATGTATTGTTTGAAGGTAGATGAGCTAGATGAATCTCCTTTCACTTGGAGAACAGCCTGCCACTCAGTATCAGTTGAGAGAAGAGTTTTGATATAATAAAACCACAATGATGAGATTTTTTAAAACCTGGAAAATCTGAATGAAGATCAAGAAAGTTTTGCAGAGAAGAGGGCAACTGACTTCGATCTTGGTAGGAACAAAGAACACTTTGGGCTCCAACTGCATGCCAGAAGCTAGGCATGCACTACACAAACAACAGTGGCCAGTACGTATCATTATTCCCATTTTTCAGATGAGGAAAATGAAGATTAAAAGAAGATTAAAAAACTGAAGTGGACCGACCAGGCAAGTCAGCTGATTTAACATTCAGATCTATTTTGAGAACAAAATCTCTGCTGCCTCCTTTGGAAAAGTTGCTTGAAATCTCAGCGCCAAAACTTAGTTCTAAAAGTTTAGGGAAAGGTCATCCTGTTTAGTCAAGAGCCAAGTCATTTGTAGGATAATGTTCTTCTCCTAAGAAACACTGCATCACATGTCCACTCCTCTGCTGAGGACATGAGCTTTCTAAACACAGGGATGGCAGGTGCGGTCCCTCCATCTGTGTTGGGATGGGAACAATTCTGTCTGAGCTGGGCACAGGATTCCCAGGGCCTAGGCTGGAAATGAGAAGAGGCAGAGATCAAGAGTACTTTCTCCTTCAGGCAAAGAGAAGTACTGACTGTTTTTAGGTAGATTAATGACACATTCCACTTGTGTTTTAGAAAATCCCTCTGGGAGCAACATGGAGGATGAACAGGCAGAAAGTTAAGTCCGAGGGCAGAAGAATTATTCAAAGACTATTGCAAAATTCCAGGTGGGAAGTCTGAGCACCTGAACTGGGGCCATGGCAATGATGACCATGAGAGGAAAGACTCAGGCTAACCCAAGAGGTGGAGCTGAGGGGACTTGGCCATTGACTGGATGTGGTTTCCCAGAGAGAGAGGGGAATCAAAGATAACTCCCTGAGGAAGAACTATTACCAAGAGAAGATGTAGTCACACCGTAAATTCAAAGCTTAATAAAGACCAAGGCCTTAATTTACGAAGCCAGGTTCCTTGGGCTAGCGGTCATGTAGATTAAAATGTGATAGTAAGAAAAAAAATAAAACAAATATTAGCTATAAATACTAGAGTGAATGGTTTACTGATAAAGAAAGTACTTGATGGAAGAAATACAGTTAATTTAGTAAGTACCTATGCTATAATTTTTAAATATATAAACCACATTTATCTTTCTCACTAGGAACAAAGTACTTTTATGTATCTACATGTCATTTCAATTAAAGAAAAAGTTTCTACGGACAGAGTAAAAACTCTTGTGTCCTGGGCTAGAATGGTGCTCCTACAACCCACCCCAGATTTGCTGAATAAGATGGCATTTTACTTACTACCCGCTGTCATCTGTTCTTTTTTTTTTAAGTAGGCAGATTTGCCACTGGTCAGTAAGAAATTATTAACAAGAAAGAGTTAAAGGAAAGGGAATGGATAAAGAATAAATGGGTCAAAAGAGACAGAAAAGATAAAAGCAGACTATATTGCAAATACATAGCCGGTATAAAAACCATCAGATTTTCAAAAGCACTGATTGGATTTTGGTGGCGTTTTCCTCTTTAAGGAGCAATGTTGAATGGAATAAATGTGAGCAAGAAGATTCACAAGCAAGTGCCTCTTTTTATAACTAATGTCAGCAGTAGGACTAGAGAGTCATTCTTACCATGCTTCAGATGTAGGCAGCTGTCATTCTTGGACCTGTACCTGCAGAAAATTGTGTCTTTAACAAATTTTTATTGAAGAGGTTTCTGTACATTCCAAATACGTAGTAGCTACAACACCAGGTGGACTTGTTTGCTTTACTTCTATGGTTCTTATACCAGCCATTTTTATTTGTGCAGTACAAGTAGTGGCCTTATTTTTAATGAGAGAAAAAGGGGAAATAAATGGGACCTCACTGATGCCTTGAAATAATGTATAAGAAAGACAAACCTTATCACTATTTTATATATATATTTTTTAAAAAAGCCAAATCATAGAAGAAATTCTCACAGGGATACAAGGTAACATACTGTGTAATCGCCATAAAAATGATATTTTTAAGAAGTTATGCAAATTGAAAAAAAATGGAAGTGTTAAAGCAAGGAGAATACACGCAACAAAAGCAAATAACCCCAAACAAAACAAAACACCCCACAGCTCACAACCAGGATCCAGGTGACAGGGTTTGGGAAAGAGTTTTTACGTGCACCTTCATGAAGTCACATTTAAAAGAAAGGTCAATTAAAAGTTTTAAAGAACTTCAGGAAGAAAAGCAGAGTTAAGAATCACAGTTATCATCACAGAAGAAAGCAGTGTGTAGAGAGAGGCAGACTGCTGGAGAAGGCCTTCATTAGAAGCCCAGGACTGACTGGACAGTCACGTGGGGCCTACCTGATGCAGATTCCTGTAGTTTCTCTCTCTTCCTCTTCTTTTTCTTACCCTGGAAGAAAAGAGGCACGTCGTCAGAATGTGATATGAAAGCACAGGCCGGCAGCAAGGAGGTAAAGACGGCCCATTATCTAGTTCTCTCCTCGCCTTCAATATGTAAGAAAACAAATTAGAGAAAAGAATGATCTGTTCATGCCCTTTGTCTCTACAGCTTCATATTTAGCCCCCATCAGTATTGATGCCATGGGCAACATCTGTCTATTTGTCTCCCTCTTTCTCTTTTTCATGCTTTCAGGCAGGAATAATCATGTCCTAGGCTGTAGCAGTAGAACCCCCTTCAGGGAGAGCTAGCGTGCAAGGCATTCCTTTCTTACTCCCAGCACATACTTAGAACCCACTTCTGCCTGTGCTCAAAATAAACCTTACTGCGAATTCCACGGTATGACTGAAAGTTCCACATTGTTAACTGTGTATCCACAGCCCTTGTGGCATAGGCACAACATAATCAAGGAGAGAGGCAGAAGGGTGAGACAGAACCTGAGAAAACTCAAGACCTATTTCCGGCAATTAAGGACCTTGCTTCCCAAGATAGACACGATAACACAGATGTACACATGATTTTAAAAACATTTCACAATCATGCTAAATTTAAAAATTAGGTCTCACTATAAAGTGATCTAATTTTCTATTTTCCTTCATAATTACTTTCCCCTCAAAATTAATTAATTAATTCGTTTATTTAATTTTTTTATTGTTGGGGATTCATTGAGGGTATAAGAAACCAGGTTATACTGATTGCATTTGTTAGGTAAAGTCCACCTTGATAATTGTGTCTTGCCTCCAAAAGGTGTGTCACACACTGAAACCCCCACCCCCTCCCTCCTTCCCTCTCTCTGCTCTTCCTTTCCCCCACCCCCTCCCTTCTTTCAAAAATAATTTTAATAGGGTATAGCCACAGTCTATTTATATTAGATGACCAAATGCATTAGGCATTTTCAAATAACTGTTAACAGAACATCTATCATCTCCAATCTCTCTCTTATGTCTGTTTTAACAATCACATTAGCAAATAAAAAGTAAACTATAAGATTATACTGAAATATTTTGTGTCTCTATAAAAATGTGTACATATTTTTGCACCTCGAGATAGTTTTTCTTCATGTCACCTGGTCATTGAGGCTTTCAAGCTATAGAAGGTTGACGAACTAGTCTCACAAACACTAAGGCAAACAGCAGGTATCAGTGACCCTGGGAAATGGCATATCGAAAATAATGGAGTCTCCTTTGGAGATTATTACAGGAGCTCTGGGGGAGGGGAGTGGACAGAAGGAGGGCATGAGTCTCACAAGCATCCACTATCTTTCTCTCAAATGGAATTACCGCAGGTTTCAAAAGTTGCTATGAGGTAGTCTCATGTATTTGGAACATCCTTCCACACCTCCTTCTCCACTTAGCTCCCCTTTGCCCTTTAACACACAATTCACATACCTTCTCTTCTTGGAACCTTCTCTGCTCCACACCCAGTACAAGGCTGGGACTCTTCCTCCAACCTCACAGCATAACCAAACTCCACACAGGTGCTATAATGGGCTCTGTCCCAAGCCCCTCAACCATGTAACTGTCAGCTTCTGAGAGCACCAGCTGGGCCTCTCAGCACAACCCATCTCCCAGCTAGCATGTGGCAACTGTCTGAGGCCTGAGGTGTTACACTTCTACTGCCTAAGGGAAATGACCTATTATTATACTCTAGGCATAAACTAGAGTTCCCAAATAACCTACATGTATGGTAAGCAAAAAGAACTAAGTAGTTTGGATATACTAATGTCAAGATATAAAAAAACCAAAATTCATGTGTGAGAAACACACAAAATATATTTTGTTACAAGCAAATAGACTATATAATACTGGGAAGCATTAAAAACTATAATTTCTAATAATACAAATATTTGACTAATCTCATCCAAGAAAACAAAACCATTGTTGATTCATGAAAACCTCAGTTATTAGCTAAAGTTATAAAAACAAATCAAAATTATAAAATCTATAATGCGATAGGGTATTTTACTATGAAATCATTGAGATGCAGGTTTCTTATTGAGGATCAGGACCGCATTGTAGCACTAAATCTCTTGCTTTTATCTTTAGATTCTATTCCTATATAGTACAGTTATTTTAACAACAATATGTTTAGCTAAAATGCTATCACTTGATTGATTTCTATTTGCTTTACTGATAGGCTTATTATGATCACTATAAAAATGGCATAAAGCTGTTTCCCTTCATTCGAGGGACACATCATTTCCTTTTAAAAATTGTGCACAGGAAAACCTTTAAAGGTAAATTCACACACCAGTTTTTTAAATACAACTTTCTTTCCATCCTTCCATAGGTAGAAGAGAGGGTAAGATAGGGAAAGAGAGAGAACAACAGAATATACATGGGCATGTCTTTTAAAAAGTTAAAATTCTTACTTAAAATTCATTACTTATGAATGAGAGAAAAAATTTAAAGGCATTCCACAAAAAATGTCAAGAAACATTCCCAGCATAGCAAAGCTTACACAGGTCAAAAAGGGAAGATCAGCTCTCCTCTTTTAGGTAAACCACGTGAAAAAGACATACAGGACATCATTAGAAGACACCACTTTTGAAACCTCTCAGGTGGAAGACTGAGATCAGTCTTCCCACGCAAAGGGCATTGCAAAGGCTCTCCACAGAGGTGGTAATTACTGCCCACAGAACAGAGGCCTGGTTCGGGGCAAAAATTCTTCAACTAAAGCAGTCTTATTAAGAAGGCATTGGAAGACTGAGCTAATTAGCCCAGGAGAAAGGAGACTGAGTAAAGTTTGAAGTTGGAGGGACCTAGGTGTAAGTAAATTGCAGCTTAGCCACCCCACTACATGGCTTTGGACAAATTACTTAACCTCTTCGATCCCTCCATTTTTACCTGAAAAATGTAATAACAATACACTTATACTACTAGATTGTTGTAAGGATTAAAAAATAATAAAGAAAGCATTTAAAGCAGCTCCTGACAATCAGCATATGGTTGTTATGAAGACAACCAAAATAGCAACTCCATGTTGATTTTGCTGGGGTTCATAAGTAACAAACAGTAGGACTCTACTTCCTGTGTTACTGCCGTATCTTATGTTTAAGCAGCCAAACCCTGACCAGCAAAGTGACTTTTTCTGGAGAACACGTTACAACAAACAACTTGTGTAACCATGTCCAGAAGTAAGTTTACATGTGTTTATGACCTGGGACGCGTATCCATGTCGTTCATCATCCCTGTGGGAACTCAGGTCCCCAGAGCATCTACAGCAACAGGGGCATATTAAACTGTTTATTGATTGATGACTTCACCCTTGCCCTCTTTAAAAGGTGATACTCAAGACTGTCCTGGCTGGTATCTCTAATGCTAGTCTCACACAGAACATGAGAATTACTATAGACTGAAAGTTGTGTCCCCTCAAATTCATGTTGAAATCCTAAACCAGAATGTAATGGTATAAAGGGAAGAGGAGCCTGGGAGGTGATCAGGGCATGAGCAAAGAGCCCTTATGGGTGGGAGTAGAGGCCTCATAAAAGAGAGCCCAAGTATGATCAACCTGGGCACCCCATCTCTGCAAAAAATTTAAAAATAATACAATTAGCCAGGCGTGGTGGTATGTGCCAGTTACGTGGGAGGCTGAGGTGGTAGGATCACTGGAGCCCTGGAGTTTGAGGTCATAGTGAGTTATGATGATGCTATTGCACTTCAGCCTGGGCAACAGAGTGAAACCCTGTCTCTCAAAACAAAAGGGAGAGAGACCTGAGAGAGCTCCATCACCCCTTCCACCTTCTGAGACATCCCAGGATCCCGAAGTGTGAGAAATAAATTTCTGTTGTTTATAAGCCTCCTAGTCTGTAGTATTCTGTTGTAGAAGGTTGAATGAATGAATACAAGAATGATCATCACAATTTTAAATTATGTTAAGACCTAAAATAGTCAAACTTATTCCTCTCTATAAAATACGATAAAACTTTAAATATATCATTCATAATACAGTTTCTCAGAAATAGTCTTTGTCATACCAAGACTTCATTAGTAAAAAGCTCAAACACTACAGTAATAGAACTGGCAATATAAATGAGGTATTTCTTGCCAGTAAATTTAGTATAATTTAAACATGATAATACCTACTTTGGCTGAATAAAATACATAGTAGACATCAGGGTACATTAATATGAAGATTTTTTACACAGTTCTAATTAGAACTGTGAATACATAGAACCTGAATACATTGATTATGAGAACTGTAAAGGATACAATCCTGTGGAAAACAATTTGACAATATATATCTAGAATTTTAAACTATTTATATCCTTTAACTCAACAATTCTCAAAAAACCAAAAACAAAAACAAAAGAAAGCAATGTTTTCTGCTTTCTAAAAGCAGAAAAAAATGACTAAGTAAATCATGACACTCAGTGGAATAATGTGAATACTATGCCATAGCAGAAAAATGCTTTCTAAATATAAAAGCAAGAAGCATGGCACAAAATTGAAAAAACATGCAAAGAAACAACACTAGAAAGTAATATAGGTAGGTATTACTAATGTTTGTTGCCTTTACCTAGTAAAATTATGAAATTTTGTTTTTCCCCTTTAATCAAGAGGTAGTTCTTTTTATGAAAGGCATTTCTATTTTGATTAAAAGGCTTTACTTTTAAAAATACATTAGCAACTACAATAAAAAAAAATGGTGCCAGCTCAAAGTTTTCAAAACAGATCCATGTAATCTTTATTACAAAGTTCATTAACTTCCAATAATAGGAAATAGTATCAGCATTGCATACATCATAAAACTTCCTTTTTTAGAGAAAACAGAAAAGAGTGAGTGAAAGTGTAGAGCCACTGGCATGGCAAAGGCGCTTACGTAATTGTCTCTTGCAGACCAGCCTGGGTAAAGCTGCATATGTAGCTGTCTTTCTTTCCGTGCTAATTCATAATATTTAGCCTGCTCTTCACGGGAGAGGGCATGCCACTAAAACAGAGAGGGGAAGGAAGAAAAAAACAAAGTGAGTAAAACAGCAGTAGTTATATTTCATGTTTCAAGCGTCAAAAAATGAAAATATTAAGTACTTAGACTTTGATTAATTTTTAAATGGCAGAAGACCAAGTGCCAAGTGCTACAGAAATCTACTTGGAGTCTGGTGGCTAAACTGAAACTCAAACTTTGGTTTCTCTATCCCGTTCTCATATCACATGAAACACATCAAAGTCAATCAAAGTACTCAAAGGAAAATGATATGTGTCACCCACCCCTTCCCTTCTCCAATATAAATTAAAAAGAACTTTCACTGGTGAACCTCAACACTCAGCTTAGTTCTTTTTTATAGTTTGAAGAATATTCTGATATCTGAGCCCAAGCACTATTTATTTATGCAAAATGTGATAATTTCCAGATGTCTTTTAAAACAGATATACCCTCTCCTCACATGGACACTCTCTCACTCTGTCATATGAAGAGTGCGAAACCTTGATCACATGATGCTTATCTACAGAAAGACATCAAAAGTCAGCCTGCCTGTCCCAGTCTCCTCACCATCTCCCACTGCTTCTAGCAATCCACAGCTTTCTAAACCTAGGGCACCATGCCCTTCACAGGCAGAAAAGACCAACCTGAAGAGAATGGAACAGATCATCCTTGATTTTTCTGAGAAAACTCAAATCACTGATTTTAAAGTTAGCTCTGGTGCTAAATAAATACGACTAGCAAGGGACAAAGGATTACCAAAAAGGAAAAAAAAAGAAAAAAAAAATCACAAGGAAGTCTTTCATTTTGAATCTGTTTGTTCATTTGACAAGTATTATGCCCCTACATACAACATCTTTTATTACTGTAATATATCAGTATAATTTTACATAATTTATGGCAGCTTCATAACTTTCTGAGAAAACCTATAATCAAAAATTACATATTAACTCCCAAGATAGGTTACCATGGTCAGTTCTTCTATCCAAACAGCCAGGTATTTTTCTGTTAAAGCAGGAAACTTAGGTTGAAAAAAAGATTCCAGCAAATAAAACTCAATAAAATGTAAGGAGAAAAAGCAGGACAAAACTATTTATTTGGCTTTTTAATTGCTTTTCTTTCTTTCTTTCTTTCTTTTTTTTTTGAGACAGAGCCTCAAGCTGTCACCCTGGGTAAAGTGCTGTGGCATCACAGCTCACAGCAATCTCCAACTCCTGGGTTCAAACGATTGGGACTACAGGTGCCTGACACAATGCCTGGCTATTTTTTGGTTGCAGCCGTCATTGTTGTTTGGTAGGCCTGGGCTGGATTCAAACCCTCCAGCTCAGGTGTATGTGGCTGGCGCCTTAGCCACTTAAGCCACAGGCGCTGAGCCTTTAATCGCTTTTAGTTCCCTGATATTTCTAATGAACAAAACCTACATACAAATAAGAGATCATTTACCTGACTAAAACATTGGGTAGAAAAACAGTGGTACTAAAGTTTTGCATTGAAAATAAAAATAAACTTTAATATAAACTTAGAACATTTTTTTTTTTTTTGCAATTTTTGGCCAGTTTGAACCCGCCACCTCCAGCATATGAAGCCAGCACTCTACTCCTTTGAGCCATAGGTGCTGTCTGAAATGTTTTGTTTTGTTTTTTAAATAGGCATTTCTGAAACATAACTGACAAAACCACTTTTCTATTTCATTGCTTACTGAAAATTTTTAAGTTTCTAAAAAATCAAATTTCACCGTCCAGGTTTCATAAGTTGTGAGGGAAAAGATTCATTTAATTTGAAGAAACTTAAACAGATAAAACATTCTTACAATAAATTTCTAATACATAAACTTCCTTTATTAGCCAGGAAGGTATGAGTAGAAAAAGATTATTTTAAAATAAGATTTGTGCTATTTTTACTTCTAATATGAATTAAAAATATTAATTCAGATGAATGAACATTTCTATCTTAGAGATATAGTAAAGATGAATAAAAATATAAAGATAAAATGTTCTGGGATGGATTTAAGATCCACTTTTAAGAACTCTAATTATCCCAGTGCAAAACTTCATGATTTTAAAGCCAGGGACTTTAAAGAGCTAGCAGAGGCTGCTCTGCCAAAGGGGAGTTATGAAAGGATAGAAAACCTGATGTTAATCAAAGATCTCAGAGACCTATAAATAGAAACAGGTGTCTAAATCAAAGACAGAGAGAGACCCCAAATGAGAACCATCCTTTAGGACATATGCTTGGATCTGGGATTGTTAAGGGAGCCGAGAAAGTAGCAATTGTTGGAAATGGGCATTCAAAATAGGAAGCCTACCTTCCTATCATATCCTCACCTACTCTCTTGAGCAGGAAAATAATCTTCACTGGAAAACCAAGGGGCCTTCCACTCAAAAAAAAAGAAAGAAAGAAAGAAAGAAGGAAAGAAAAAGCTACAAGTTTGGTGAAAATATTTCAAATTGTATATGAAACCAGCACACTGTACCCCATGACTGCATTAACGTACACAGCTATGATTTAATAAAAAAACAAACAAACAAAAACAAAAGGCCTGACTCAGGAAAAAAAAAAAAATAAATAAAAGAAAAAGCTAAGAGTTTAATACAAGCTGAAATAAAAACATCAACACTTCTTTTCCTGACTTCTTTTAAAGAGTCAAAGAAAATGGTTATCAGCTTTTAAAGTGGAGTTCTTCAAAGATGATGAGAATCACTCATCTGCTATGATCTCGCTTGGGGAATCATTGTAATTATTGTTATTAAGTGTTTAAGAATCCACAGGGAGATAGGGCATTGTACACAGGACAGCAAAAAAAAAAAAAAAAAAAAGCTATAATCTACCACCACACCCCACCTATGATACCCTGGTGTCTGGCAGATTGGAAATAACTGCATTTTGCAGCTATCCAAGGGAATCAATAATGCAAGCTGGCCTGCTTCCCTCCTACCCATGTGCATGGGCAATCTGCTGAATGTTTTCTGTTATGAATGCTGCAATGTATTAGGTTTGGAGTAAACACGGTAAAAAGTATCATCACTATAGTTAATATATGATCCTGTGTGTTTCACAAGGGTTGTTAGACCCTTCTCACCTGAACATTTACTTTCATTGTCATGAATTTCTTGAGAGGTTGCAAAAACAAATACACAGAGTCATAAACTAAGAAGCCACCGTGTATATATATAAAAAGCATCAACAAAGACAAAGAAGTTCTAAGATGATAATGTAATCATAGTGAATTACAGAAATTCAAATTTTTTGAATAGAGTAGAATTTAGATAACTATTTAGATTAGATAACAATTTCAATCCTGTGAAAAGTACTTCACTGAATTGACTAGTGTTCTGGCTAGTGGTTAGATAAAGAATCTTAGAGTGTCTACCCTAGGTGTAGACTAGTGTCTCAGTAGATACTCAGAAAAATTTTCACAGCCTGGGTGAAAGGAGGAGTGAAAAGCAAAGGAGCCAATCCAGAAACCTAACACACGTACACTTCCAGAATTAGAGAGCAAGCTGGGCACAGTGGCTCATGCCTGTGATCCCAGCACTTTGGGAGGCTGAGATAGAAGGATCACTTGAGCCCAGGAGTTGGAGACCAGCCTGAGCAACCAAGCAAGACTCTGTCTCTACAAAAAGGAAAAAAAAAATTAGCCTGGTGTGGTGTCACGCATCTGTAGTCCCAACTACTTGGGAGGCTGAGGCAGGAGAACTGTTGGAGCCTGGGAGTTGATGAGACCACTACATTCTAGCCTGGGCAACAAAAGAACACGCTGTCTCAAAGATGGATGATGGATGGATGGATGGACAGATAGATAAAATCAGAGAGATAGCTTTCTAGAGTCACTATTTCTTGCCATTATATAAATTCTTCTAGTTAAAGCCTCAGGTGGAACAGAATTGCTGTGTCTGGGAAGTGGCCACATCTACTTGCCAGGCTGGTCCCCACCAGGCCTTGTTGCAGTGCCCCAGATGGCTGAGTCCATCCCTGCCTCCGAGTCCCCATCTGTGTGTAGTGAGTCCACCTTTTCACTCACCTCTCGAGTCTTAGATTCAATACAATTTTCTCAGAGGGGTAATTCCCCAGCCCCTATTGTTCTTTCTTACTGAATCTTGCTATTTACATTCACAAAATTTATCACAATTTTACTTATATATTTGTTGGGTAATTCTTTAACTCATGTCTATAATCCTGTCACAAAACTTCAAGCTCCAAAAAGACTGTATCAATTTAATTCAGCAATTATTACCTAATGGCTAGTATGCCTGGCATGAAAAGACACTCCATATTCATTTAAATAATGATAAGAGTAAAAACTGTTTTTTGTTTTTTGTTTTTTTTTGAGACAGAGCCTCAAGCTGTCGCCCTGGGTAGAGTGCTGTGGCATCACAGCTCACAACAACCTCCAACTCCTGGGCTCAAGCGAGTCTCTTGCCTCCGCCTCCCAAGTTGCTGGGACCACAGGCGCCTGTCACAACACCTGGCTATTTTTTTTTTTCGGTTGCAGCCATCGTTGTTGTTTGACGGGCCTGGGCTTCGAACCCGCCACCTTAGGTGTATATGGCTGGTGCCTTAGCCACCTGAGCCACAGGCGCCAAGCCGAAAACTGTTATAATTTACAGGAAGTTACTAAGTGCCATGTATAGTCCAGTTGTTAACAAGGCATCCTATTTAATTCTCCTAATGGCCATCACTGTATCTGTACCCTTTGTTACTTCCCAAAGTGCTTGCTATACAAACATATTCAATGGCCAACTGACATGTAATTAAATTTGGGTAGATTTTAACGAAGTAGTTCCATGGTTGCCATAAACATTTATACACTACTTACCCTTCTGCCTAAAATCTGGTTGATAGCTGCACTTTCTTTTAGAGTACACTCAGCAACGACATTTGCTCTCATCTCTTTCATGTATAACATAAAAGCATTCAGAGGCTTCTTAATGTGAGGTCTTTTTGGCTCTTGCTCCTTTCTCTGTTCATGCTGAGGCTTCCTAAAAGGCAGTTTGGGTGGTAGTTAGGGGAAGGGATAGGAGGAGAACAGAAGCAGGCACCTGTCACATCGCCACTCTCAGGCTGGGACAACCCCTGCACCCACTGAACGCCATCACCTTGGAAGAGCAGCTCTTGACTAACTTGAAACACTGAGAGGTGAACAACCAACAATAGGTCTTATCTACTCAGCAGCTCTCTAAGACTAAAGTCCCTTGGTTCGAGAAAGTATACCTACTACACAAGTGTTTACCACAAAATGGAAACTGACTTGGCACTGTGAAGATACCTGGTGGAGGGCCCTAGCAGAAGGGCCTCAGTCACCTCAGCAGAAGTTGAACACATCATACAGTTGATCATTCCTCTTTCAGACAGATTCTTTACTTTAGGGCTGAAGGATCAAGGGGCATGCTGAGGAACTACTGAAACTTTAGACCCCTTCCCTTGAACAAACGCATGCTGCCTTTCCTGCATTTGCAAGGAGTTTATGGACTATCACATGCTCTCTGCCACCACCACCCCCAAAAACCTAGATTAAGAAGCTCAATTACTTCTCTTTAGGGTAAATTAATTTAGCCCTGCTCTAACAGTCCAAGACAACGTTGGTCCAACAGGGAGTCCTGGGCTTTGTGTGCCTCTTTCCCTTGAATTCTGCGCTGCTGAAGTCTCAAACCAGGGTAACTGCATCTCTGGAAGGAAAAGCATTAAACCCTCCAGTCTAATTCACTCAGGTACTAATGAGTTCTCCCCAATAATCAACAAAATTAAAACATAGTGGTAAAGGGCAAATCAGCTCAAGATTTTTTAACGCCTTCATCTTAGTGAGGTCCCCGTGATTTTTTAAGGTCTATGCTCCTTTCTAACCTCAGAATCAAAATTAGCGCAGTGAGAATCAAGTTGCATAATGTCCTCGGGGACAGAGCTTTCAAGGCAGAGCTACACCAAATTTCATAATGACAGAGACAGGAGAAGAATCACCAGTACAGAAGCTGCAGCAGCATCTTCAGGCATTTCCAGATGAGCCTGGTGCATACTTACACGTGCATTAGGTCGCTGTCAGTGTGGGGATGTTCCTGCTTGACCTGAGGTGTTACAATAGCTGGATGAGGGATGCCAGTTGTGTGGGGGCCCGGAGGACCAGGAATCATATGATGGGAGAACCTAAAGGAAGGAAACAGAAGAACAAAATATATATATACTACTGGCTGCTGCCGCAAAAGCCAGACAGACTTTCAAAACAATCTATTAACTGCTCTTGGCTAAGAGTTACACACTGGAGTATTAACTATAAATTAGATTGGGCTAATAATTATTTTTTCCTTCTGTATTCAGGTGGAAAATATTTATAATTATTCCCTGTCGTTCTTCAAATAGTAGAGCCTGATATTTTTCCAGACAGGACTCTAGGCCCTAGGGTTAAAAAGGAAAAAAAAAAAAAGAATCATTTTTCTTGCAAAGCAATTTTGAAATAAGAATTTCAGCAAGAGTAATTTTTGGAAATATAATACTTTATTAAGATTTAGCTTTGTAAATGGGTTTTTAAATGAAAGCTAAAGACATTATCTCTGCCTGCATTCATAAGCAAACCACCACATTAAGAGTTTTCTTATATTGTTCACTTCTTCATTAATACTACAAGTGAACAACTGAGAAATGGGAGTCAGTCTGCTTTTAATAAGGTTTCCATTAACATCGTGCAAATTGATTTCTATGCAGAAATAAAGTAATGTTTGAGACCTCTACCCTTATGGAAAACTGGTAACAGAATCAAAGGGGAAGATGTAACTACAGGGAAGGATATAGTTCTGTACCAAGGTAAAAACTATACCCACAAAAGGCTTTTTCACAAGTATTCTTATAGCACATAAAAAGAATCTTAAATTATCCACCACCAGCCAACACAGAGGAGGGAAACTGCCATGCAAGAAAAATCAAACAAATAAAGACAGTACTCTCAACAAGGGCTTCAGATAAATTTGGATGTGTTTTAGAAACGTTTACTTTTCAAACTGCTTTAAAGTAAACATGCAATTCAACAAGAACAAAATTCTCAAATCTTTCATCACAGCTATTACAATTAATTCCTTAACCTGACTGGGTATGTAATATTTCAGAAATAACTTTTAAACTATTAAGAAGGCATGGTAAAACTACGAATATTTGACCAAGTAATGATGCTTGCTGAATATGCTGTTTGCAAAAATACACAATGCTAGGTTTTTGCCTGTGAGAAAATTCTATCATTGCATAGTTTTCATAATGTTAAAAAATGTAAAAGTATGTTTTAGTTGGAAGGATATTAATTCCATTCCCTACTACCTATGATCAGCTAGATTTACGAGTCATTGAAAAAAAAAATTTTTAAAGCTGTAATTCACTACAGAAACTCAGAATTTCATACCCACATAACAAAACACAGATTCACAACCAGTTAATAACTCACCAGTTTGACTTCAGCATGATAATGCTAGCTCCTTTGAAAAAGCCACATTGAACACACAGATGATACACCACAAATGTGTGTGTACATCAAGCACAGGGCACAGAAGCCAACCTTTCCAGAAGCAAAAGCATCACACAGAGCAGCCTTGCAGTGTGGCACGGTAGGCCTCCGAGCTCCGCCGGCACCACCACGTCCACACAGGGCCTGATTCACACACTAGGACGCATACCCTGCATGGCCTGGCAGCCTGTAAGCACTGCTCTCTCTCTTGACGGCCTTGGTCCAGGAAGTCTACAGAGCAGTGGTTTTCAACCTGTGGGTCACGACCCCTTTGGGGGTCGAACGACCCTTTCACAGGGGCCACCTAAATACATCCTGCGTATCAGATATTTACGTTGCAATTCATAACAGTAGCAAAATTACAGTTATGAAGTAGGAAGGAAAATAATTTTATGGTTGGGAGTCACCACAACACGAGGAACTGCATTAAAGCGTTGTGGAGGTTGAGAACCACTGCTCTAGAGTCTAGACTATCTGGGCATTTTCAAACACTGCCTCACCAAACTGCTACAACTTTCCTCAAAGGAAGAAAATTACAGAACTCAGTCCAAACCAGCTTTTACCCTCCTCCCTTACCCCACCTTTAGCATATTTTGAATCCAACAAGCTATTCTTATAACATCTGCTGTGGGGACACTTCACAGCCCATGGTCAGGGGGCAATGCATTCTTCTAGAGGGAAGGCTCCTGGAAGCTAAGTCCATTCCCCTGCTGGGTGTGGCTGGTCCAGCTGGGGCTCCCCTTGGGCTCCTACCAGGAATCTCTGACACCTAGTGTGGGAGGCAGGCACACTGCACAGACAGACAGATGGCTGGGTATGCACCCTCCTAGCCGACTGAGAGGCAAGCAGAGGCACACAAGATGCAAGCACGAGAACAGCAACTTGTCCTCAAGTGCCCCAGGTTCCACCTCCACCTACCTGGACATGGAAGTGTCGACTGACAGTGAGGATGGGTAGGGTTGCCTGAATCCACCCGTGATGGGATATACAGGCTGACCTTGCCTGAGGTCACAGAAGAAAGGAACCCATCAATGACAAAACACGAGTTACCACCCAGCAATAAGAGTTGGATGAGGGGAGAAGAGGGAGATAGGCAAACAGAACCTTGTGGGAGTATTACAGACCACAGCATTTCTGCACATAGGCAACTGTTTCCTTCCTCACCCTCCACCCAAACAAAGCATCATTTGCCTTCAAGAAAATCTCCCACCCCCAACTTGGAAACAAACCAGTCCACAAATTCCTTATCTTTTATCCCTTCCCCTCGTCCAACCCCATTAATGCTTTGAACAAAGTAGGCACTTAATAAATATTTATTGACTATATTGGAATCCAGAGAATGGTGCAATGTTCCCTTCAGGAAAGGAGCTTAGTGAATTCTTTCTTAGAATCTTTGAGGATTTCAGGGAGGGAAGAAGGAAACAAAATTTTATATTTATATAAAAATGAACAAACATTAAAAAAAAAACAACTGTATCTTTCCCCCCACATACGTGTATGTTAGAGTCAAGAAATAAAAGACTGACTCATTGGAATTATTTTATCTCTACTCTGAGAAGTCTATTTTCCCCTCTGTTATTTCTACATCTCTCATTTTTGCATTTATACAAGTTATTTCCAGCTGCCAGTGGTGCACCTCAGCACAGGATTATTTATTGCCCTTAAGTAGCTAAGTTTAGACAGAATAATTCCAATCTAGGTTTCAAATTATATGCATAATCAATTAAGTTCAGTTATTGACTAAGAGATGTAATGCTAAAGAAATGTGAAAAGAGAGGAGGGGAGGGGAGACAAGGGGAGAGGGAGAGAGAAGGGCTGCTAGAATGCCCACAGCAGGATGTCCCTTCCTTGATGAAGATCTCAGATAAGGATGGCCTAGGTAGGGAGATGGGAACAATGTTACCGGGGCTGTGGAAAGAGAGACCCAAATGGAGAAAGCAGAGAAAACACTTCCTAGAGTTCAGGAATTATTTCTATGAATGAGAAGTGGGGAGGGGAAGAACAGAGAAAGGATAGGAATGGCAGGAGGGAAAGCTGTGCTAATCATCAATTGATATAGTACATATAAAATTAGTCTTTCTTCCCAAAATATTTTCCTTTACATAATTTAAAAGATTTTAAAGACAGCAGTAAGAGTGTTTTTCGAAATAAGATAACAATATAAAGAACATTAAGCAGTTGGATTCTAAAAAAAAGACCTCATATGTACTATTCTAAACTCAGATCGGATACTCAAATTTTACAAGATGCTTTTTTTTTCTTTATTAAATCACAACTGTGTACATTAATGCATTTGTGGGGTACAATGTGCTGATTTGATATACAATGTGGAATGCTTACATCAAACTGATTAATATAACCATCACCTCACTTATTTATTGTGGTAAGACATTTATACTCTTAATAGTTTTGTAATGTACCATTGCATTGTGCACATTAGGTGAAGTCCCACCAAGTACCCTCCCTCCTCCTGGCCTCCCCGCTCCCCTTCTCTTTTTCTCCTCTTCCCTCCTTCCTTCTGGACTATAGCTGTGTTTTATCATTTGTATGAATGTGTTTCCTAATAGTATTAAGTACACTAGATACTTTTTCTTCCATTTTTGATATACTTTACAAAGAAGAATATGTTCTAGCTCTATCCAGGTATATAAAAAAGAAGATTCTTTTTTATTGGTGAATTTCCCTCTAGTTATATATCATTTACCTCACTTTCCCAGATATTCAATGTGTCTAAGTTTATGTTTCAAAAAAATAAGGTGTTCATAAAAAACCTAAGGAAAAAAACCTACATTGAGCACTAACTTTGTACAGGCATAGCAAATGCCCAAGGCCACAAATTGAATCCACAAACTCTAAGCTTCAAAGCAAATGCTACATAGTCATTTTCTACACCTATTAGCAAACAGATTCAATCCATTTAAAAGTCTGTTATGTTTTTTAATCTTTTAAATTGAAATGAATAAAGTTAGCACCTTGCTTGTTGATGTGAAATTTCTTCAATTCCACAAGTGCTGTCATTCATAAGGCTAATTTCCTTGAATGGAAAGTGGAAGAACATGTGTTCAAATGCCTGGCTGAAGGTTATAGGAAGGATCTTACCAGCCAAGAGGTGGGGTGATCTGTCCAACACCACCGGGAGACAGGGGATAAAAGGCAGGGATGTCAGGAGCTGGAGGATGTCGGGACATGCCTGTACAAAAGAACAACAGAGAGGAGTCACTCTCAGATTCATGGGACACTGACCAGAAGACTGATGGAAACGCAATAAAAACGTTCTATGCCATTAATACTGAAGGTCTAGAATGAAACAATATTTATTCTTCGGATCCAGTGAATAGCAGTCAATTAGCTTTTCTCAAGATTACTACAATCAGAGGGATCAGGATCCTCAGATCGTGCACCTTGAGGAACTCCTGAAGGAGTAAATGTGCTGCCAGTAGAACAGTCAAGAAAACAGGCATTTAAATTTATTTTTCCCTCATTTATTTCACTTTGGTTAACAAAATGATATACTGTTGGTTTTGTGTGGGAATGAAAATTATTTCGCATAGAATGAAAAAATGACAGCCTTTCTTAAGTAGATGATTTACCATGGTGCCCAAGGATTAGGTAAACTGCCACTTTCATATTTTCATAGGTTCCCTTATGGACACATAGATTTGGGAAATATGACACCTCAGAGAATCAAAGATTAATTAGGAATCATCTTCAGCCCCATAATGGTCACACTTGATATGATTCATTTGGTCTCCGCCACTTCAGCTCCAACTAAGCTCTTCATCGAGTTGAGTCCTCTGGGCTCCAAGGTCAAGCTGTTCTGGATTAGTTGGATTCCATAGAAAATGACAGAGCCACCAAATTGTTTCCTGAGCTTACACTCCCTGGAGTATGCTGCCCTGTAACTGTGAACACCACCTAGAGATTAGTTAGACCTAATCCTAGTCCCAAATGATATCCCTTTGTTTATACCTTACCCTAGGTAATGACAGGAAGAGAAAAAGAAATGACAGGACAAAATGAATAAAACGTAAAACAGAAAAATTCAAACTTTAATTTACTTAGGGGAAATAGAAAAGAGCCACTCAAGTTTCTTCGCACAGATAAATCATGGCTTTTAAAAGACCACCTCCATATAGAAGCATACTTTCCAAAGTTAACTCACAGAATACAGTGAGTGACTGTAAATATATTGGCTAACATGTAGATTTAAGTGAGTACATGGAAGACGCCCTTTAAATATTCTACTTTTTTACCATTTAAAATGCTGATAAATTTCATTTGAATTTTAGAAGATATTGAAGGTCTTAAAATTTAAGAAGTGCTGTCTCCAAACTTGATGTTAATTTGACTTTGAAGTCAGAATAGATCATTTCTTGATTCTTATAGAAAACAGGTAGGAATAAGAAAGATTATCTCAAAAGAGAGACTACATGACACTATCACACATTTTGCTGTTTTTTAAAAATAATAGTCTCAATTGTTGTAAATAAAATTCTTTTTTGCTACAAATATTAATTATTTTGGTCACAGTGGACCAAGTTTTATATCCTGCAGATTTCTTCTTGGGTTTGGGCAGCAGGAGTGATTCAAAGGGAGCCTGCAAGGGTGTTCCTGACATGTAAGACTCATTGGTGAGGTTTTTCAACTTGCTGCTTCCCTCACTCTGAGATCCAGGTTAACTCCCCCAAGAGCTCAGGGTCTTGCTGGGGATTGCTCTGTTTTGCAAACAGACAGACAGAAACAGTACAACCAGACCAACTCTAAACATTAGAACTTAGTGGAAATGTGAATGTTTAATCATGGTAACCTGAAATTCATGGCTAGAGGTCACAGACTATTAAAATTATCTACTTTAGTCACTTTATTTTGCAAATGTGGAGATTAAGGTCTAGAGAGGGTAAGAGATCATGCAGGCATCTGTTTGGGTTACACGAAAAGTATGTCCTGTCCTGGGCTTTGATCGCTGGGACACAGAGGGGTAACTTGCTTGCAGTCATATATCTTTAAGCTTACAACTCTTGCTCTTCACGCTAGCTCACATTCTAAGTGCACTGAGAACATGGTAGAGTGATTCAAATGAACAAAAACTACAAACTTATTGTATTTGGTTTCTCTGCTAGAAGAGGAAGGAGGGAACTTAGCACCTGCTATGTGTCAGGTTCTGGGCTAAGTATTTAGTTTGACTGTGTCTATTAAAATTCTTCTCATCCTAAACTGCCCCTTCTCCCAGGCAATTTTCTCTAAAGTTATAGCTTTGATAAATGTCTGTCTCCTTTAAATCAACAACTTTTTATTTGTACTTTCAATGTGGTAGCTGGGATGTTCTTCATTTTGTTTTATAGTTAGTTTGTACAAATGATTTCTTGCATGAGCTTATATATTGCTTGAGAAAAAAAGACCAAATTTTACCAATTTATGTATCAAATCATGTTTGTCTACAGAGGAGGCTCTCTGTGAATATTTCTGACTGACCAAATGAACAAGTGAAATAAAAAATGTTAAAATAAATCCATCCCTATGCTGGGTCTATATTATCAACCATTTCATATGTACAAGTACATGATGTAGATTAAGCATTGTATCAGCAGAAAATGGACTTATATTTTCTAAATATTTATAGCTCACTGTCCTTTAAAGATCTTATTTCCAATGATGCCTAGAAGTGAGTGCCTCCACACCAAGGGCCATGCTGCGCAAGACACATTTACATCATTTATTCAGTCAGTGCCTCCTGAACACTTACTATGTGCTGGAGGATATACTCAATACAGCCTTAAAGATTCTTTAAGCTTTTATAAGTATATGGATATAAGAAATAAATGTATAGATAAAATAATTCTGGAATCCACCTGCATGAATACGCCACCCACTAGCTACATACTTTGAGTAAGTTATTTAATTGTCACTGTTCTATAAAATCAGAACAGCATAAGCACGGTTGTGAAAAATAAATGCATTAATACAAGTGATACAGAAAAGTGTCTGGTACAAAATATCAGTACTATGTAAGTGTTTACTGTTATTTATAAGGTTAAAATGGATAATATAAAGATACAAACAGGTATAGAAAGCTGGTATTTCAAAAGCTCTTTCCTGTTAACATTTTAACCAGACTAGCAATAAGTAGGAAAGGAATGATTGGTACTAATTCCCTTTCCCTTTACTACACAAGCAGAGAGAGAGAAAGAGAAAACTAATTTACTCAACCGAAATTAAACTAAAGTTATTTTTCCACAAATGCAAATAGACTTTGCTAACAAACATTTTCTATTTACTAAAGAATTCTATCTAAAGATAGAACGTGGACATAACACTCTTTGAGGTTTTTTGTTTGGGATAAACCTAACTAGCCTACCAGAACTTTGAAATCAGCACCTCTGGCCTCAGTACCATGATGCTCTCACCAGTTTCACTATATGATATACCCCAAAAGTCAGGAGCAAAAAGGAATAAAAGCAGTAAGGTTATTTATTTTTTTGGCAATGAAAGTACCCAAATGGAATTATGAACTCGGTGTCATGCAAATGGCAGCTTTTCAAAGCAGAGTTCACATATCTCTAGACATGCATGATGAGGAGGTACATAATGTCCAGGGCAAACATGTAATTAAAAATGAGATTTTTTTTTTAATATATAAAAGTATATTTTATATGAGAGACAGGGAAGAGAGTGGAGTGAAGAGATGAGAAAGAGAGAGAGAGCAGTAGGGCGCTGGCCCCATATACTGAGGGTGGTTGGTTCGAACCTGGCCCACGCCAAACTGCAACAGAAAAATAGCCAGGCACTGTGGTGGGTGCCTGTAGTCCCAGCGACTTGGGAGGCTGAGACAAGAGAATCACCTAAGCCTAACAGCTGGAAGTTGCTGTGAGCTGTGACACCACAGCACTCTACCGAGGGCAACAAAGTGAGACTCTGTCTCTTAAAAAAAAAAGAGAGAGCAGAGAGCAGGGAGCAGAGAGGGAGGAGATGGGGGGAGATAGAAGGAGCAGAGAATGATGTGGCATCCCATAGGAAGAAAGGAAGACTGCCTGCCTAAAAATAAAATTTTTGTATTAAAAGAAGTACAAATAGTATATGGATTCGACTATATAAATCACATCAATTTTTGGGAAGCACCTGTGGCTCAGTGAGTAGGGTGAGGGCTCCATATACTGAGGGTGGCAGGTTCAAACCCAGCCCCAGCTGAAGTGCAACAAAAAAATAGCTGAGTACTGTGGTAGGCACCTGTAGTCCCAGCTGCTCGGGGGGGAATCGAGGCAAGAGAATCGCCTAAGCCCAGGAGTTGGAGGTTGCTGTGAGCTGTGTGACGCCACAGCACTCTACTGAGGGCAATAAAGTGAGACTCTGTCTCTATTTAAAACAAAAACAAAACAAAACAAAAAAACCCACTAATTTTTAAAATAAAGTAAGACTAAAGAAACTAAAAGCAGACAACTTCTGGTCAAGCTCACTAGTCCCTTCTTACTCGTTCTAGAAGAGTTGCTTTTAAAAAAGTTTGAGAAACAGTGGTATAAATTACAATTAGACAAAACTAAGCTAGGGTAGCAGTAAGAGATCAAAACAGAAGGAAAAATATAAATGTAATTGGTAGCCAGTTACAAACTTGTCTCTTTTAAAAAGCGAACTGTCCTAGAATTCTTGAGGAGAAAAACTACTAAACAATGATTGTCATTCTTTTAAATAAGTTAATGTTTCAAAGTGCTTCAAATGGGACCTAGGACACAGTAAGCACTATTTAGTTGTTAAATAAATAAATAGTTAAAACTAAATAAAACATACTGTTGGATTCTTTTTGCTAATTGTTTGTTTGAGGCTTTTATATCAATGTTTAATAGTCATCTACTCTTTATGGTTCCCAGATGTGTGTCTCTAGCTCAGACTTGGGTCTGAGATTGTGGCCCACAAATCTGAATTGCATACTTCATGTATGTCTTTTCGGATAGCTCAAAGACACCTTAGACTCGCCATGACCATGATCACATTGCTGATATTCCCTCTGAAACTTTTTCTTGAGATCCCTACCTAATTCCCTTTCTTACCATATAGCCTAGAGATCCATCTTTTTGATGTTTCCTATTCTTTGGAGGCTCTTAACAAAAGGAAGCAGAGTGGAGGAAAGACTGGGAAGGAGGGGTGAAACAGGTCAGCCTGGAAACATCTGCAGAGGTGATTCTTACTTCCTCTAAGACAGGCATCCTCAAACTATGGCCGGTGGGCCACATGCAGCCCGCCTAGGACATTTATCCGGCCTGCTGGGTGTTTTTGCCACCGCTGCCTGTCCTGCTTAGCAGCCGACTCACCCAGGGCCCTCAGTCCGGCCCTCCAACAGTCTGAGGGACAGTGAACTGGCTCCCTGCTTAAAAAGTCTGAGGACCCCTGCTCTAAGTAAAGGTACTCAGGCTCTATTAAAGTCCAAATTCAACATTAACTAAGTCTTCAAATAAGTGTTCTATTTTAACAATGGAGGGAACTGGAAGTGTTAGATATTTAATCTAGAAGTGTTCACATTATAGTAGTGGAAAGAACACCCAGTCTTTGAGCTCCACTTTTTAACCTAGTCATGAAATTTTGTTGTCTATTTTTTTTTTTTTTTTTT